ACGTATCCGAGTCTCACGACTAATGACTTGGCTTTAGTTCCCAAACAGTATTGGGTTTACGAAAATCGGCAACAAATCAATGGCTCAGAAGTGAGTCTCGATTTAAACAATTACGACAAACCACTGCTCACTGTGTATTTGTATGGCCGGTGTTTTGATCATGATCCTATCAACGTATTTGATTTGTAGTTTTATTCATTGTATTTAAGATTAAATTTGTTTAAATAGAAAACACATATGAAATTGCAATTTAAGTAATATTATATGAAAATCATGATAAAATTGAAGGAATTCATAAGTGTGGGCATTTAAATTAAATTAAAATTAAGCAATTTTGGTATACATTATATGAGTTAATTTATTTTTGCCATAATGCACTCATAATAAAATATGCATGCACATTTTAGTAGTTACCCTGTAAACACCGGGCAATCACTTCCCATTTTTAAACTATAAATACAATATTAAATTTTTTGTATAAAAAGTTGAGTTTAAAGTTTTCTTATATCCTGACAATGAGATCCGTTTTCCGATTGTTTGATAACTTTTAATAAATAAAATGCAAAATTATTTCCTATTTAAAGTCATTTACAAGAGATTGTACAATATTATTAGTTGTCATGAATTGTATTACGAAACCAATGAATATTAAATATAATATTATTATTATTATGTTAATAATTTCAACCATGTTTTATGTGACTTCTGAGACAATAGTGTTAGACATGGACTCTCGTTTGGTGTGGTTTCCGGCCAGACATCGAATACAGTCGCGACAAATCCGTTATTTGCGGCCACAAATGGGCCCAATTGTGAGGCCATTTCGACGACCACTTGCTTTTAGATAATTATTATTTTATTTCAAACAACATATTGTTTAATTGTTATATTAAAGTTAAACTTAAATATAAAATTTATTATTTAATTGATAGTTATGTATGTAATTTCAAATAACATAAATATTTGTTTGAAGAGTATTATGCTGTACTTTTAATCAATTAAGTAAAAGATGGACAAAAAACTCTTCACTATTTAAATGTAATATAAATTAAAAATGTTTTAAGACTTGTAAAATAATATACAAAAAATTTAAATAATAAATATAATGAAATAATGAAAATGCAATCAAATATTGGACACTAATTGCATTTGTAGTCATGTATTGTCGTTGTCTTCGGCGTCGTTCAGATCCCAAGTGCTCAACGACTTGAATATATTACTCTTGAGATCACACTTTCTTTTGCCTAATTTCCAGTACTTCATGTCATTCAACAACTTTTCGGCCGACACTACCGTTTGGGGCGTATTTTCCCGAAGCGTTTCCATCAGAAATGTGGACAAAAAACTGGTCACAAAAGCCATACTCGAGACGACCACTAAATACAGCCAATGATTGTCGTAATTGTCCTAAACAACAAAAACACGTTATTTTAGTTAAATATAATTAAAACTAATAAAAATCAATTGAAATCTAATCCATACAATTGTGAACAAGTGTTGAACGATAGTAACGGCGAGTGTGGCTATGGATAGGATGGCCGTAAGGGCTGAGCACCTGAATGTTGTCGGACTCATTTCGATAACTTGTAAACTGATAACCATTAGGGATGGTGTGGTCAACAGTAGACCACATGTGGACAACCAGTACTTCATTTGTTCACTTTTGGTCACCAATAGGCCGACGAGTATGAGTCCGATGGCGGCCAACAACAGGGCGTTTGTCAATCGGCGGCCGATTCGTCGCTGCATCAGAAACCAGACCATAAAAATGGCCGGTATTCTGGCCAATGACCACATTATGTCATTGATAATCATCTCCTTCTCGTATAAGACAATGGTTTTGGTCTCAAAGATGTGTTTAGCGCTCAGATTGACGGCCAAACAGAGCGTCAATATTAACAAACACTGGAAAAGTGTTGTCTCTCTCAGGAATTTGACGATCGCTTTGTGAATGTGTTTGACTTTTGTTGTCGTTTCTGATTCTTCGGCCAATTCTTCCGGTTTTGTTGTTTTTCCGATTTTCTGTTTAATAATAAAATACTTAATTAATTAATTTGTTTTCAGATTAAAATATTAGATAAACTTTAAGCTAAATAATATATCGCTAATTGAAACGATAATAAAATTTCATAATTTATCAAAAATTAAGTTTTGTTTGCATTAAAATTAAATTAAATCTTTGAGTAAAAAGTCTAAATCTATTGAAACTCTTTATCTTTTCAAATTAAATTATAAATGCGATTAAATCAATGAAAAACACATAAATAAAACAAAATGTTTTTTGACATAAACCTGAACTTGCATTGAGAGTAAGTCCTCATCAATTGATTTGCTGTTTGTTTGCATAATATGTTTGAAAGACTTCACAACCAAATTGTATTTGGCTTTCGATAGAAGCCATTGAAGGGATTCCGGAGTGAATCTAAAGTCAAACACACAATAAAATTAATAAATGAAAAAGTCACTAAAAAACATAATAAATAGTATGTTTTGAAAGACAAATATTGCTATAAATTCAGTGAAATTCAGAAAAAAATAAAAGTTTTGATTTATTTTTATTTAAAAATCAATTCTTATGTCTCGCAAACAAAATGCATAAATAATCTAATATATGATATTTCGTACATTTTTTTGCTACTGGAATATAACTGAAAATAATATTTGTCAGTAATTTATTTAAAAAGCATTTTAATCCGATTTTATGCTTATGTTTTTTAACGACATAACAGTTTGAATCATTTATATTCACAAAAACAACGTATAATAAGTAATACAAAACTCACTTTAATATTAAAATCAATGGCAGAACTGATGCTGTGTTTAAAGCCGTTATCCAAACCCAATGAGGGATGAAATAAATGATGACTGAATGCAGAGATGAGCCCATATATAGCGATAACCATAACAGGCATAGAGTTTTGGCTCTGTCTTTAGGGCACATAAACTCTATGGCTATTGAATTGTTTTGGGAGACAAAGAGAGAGACAATTAATTTCCTTATAAATTACGAAAACACTTTCGGGAAAACAATTGATTAACAAAAACAAAAATGCTATCAATTTTCTACAATAGCCTAAAGTGTTGAGCTTTAAGACCAATACATACTTAAAATCAAAATAATTAAATGACTCGAAGGATATGTGAGACCAATAATGAATTGTGAGACGAGAAAAACGGTATACTCTTTGCATAGTATGGGAGAAATGGATGAGACTATGGATGCGATCAGAAGTGATAAATAGCTCACTCGACGACCAAAACTATAAGCGCCGCCAAAATAAAGCGATCGCAACACAAATTGAGAGATAAAAAATAATTTTTGGTAATCAATATAAATAGTTATGCATTACTTTAAGAGAAAAAATATGTTATAAATAATAAATTTTGTTTTTTATCTCTATTTTGTGATATACATATGTATATGTATATTATATAATGTAATCACTTATAGATTTGGCAATACTTACAGATCGGCAATCAATCCAAAGAGAGGAGTTCCACAAACACTGGCAATGGTTCTGATGGTTGGGATTATAGCGAATCGATGGCTATTTTCGCAGACAAAATCATACTAAACAACAAAAACCAAAAAAGCAAATAAATTTATTTTTAAAGTAAATATCAATTGAAATGAGATTTTTAAAGTAGTGTTTGTTTTGTCGATAGGATTACATGCATCGCAAAACTGTCCCAATAATAGCCGGTGTCGTAAACCCATCCGTCGGCGCACGTCTTAACGGCCAGTTTTTTGTGACATTTGATGGACTCATTCACTGGCGGTAATCGCAAATCATTTAACACTTGTTTGTAATCGATATCAAACATATGACACGAATCCCTGACCACATCGGCGCTGGTGTTTGACGGCCGGACCACTGGTCGTACAAATCGGTGCTGTTCTCCATACGAAAAGTTTGACAACTCGTTCACTCGGCACCAGTGGTCGGGTACTAACTTCAGGTGACTTTATGGACAGTTGGGTACAGAAAACACAGAGTTTTTATTATAAATTTTGTATTTTTATGTTGAATTTTTTAAAAATAAAACTTTTTTACATTATGTTTGAATGAAACGCCGATAGTATGGAAACGGGTATTAAAATCAATAGCAATCGCTTCTGGTATTTACCAAAACCTCCGACTTCTTCGAGAATGTCTTCAAACTCAGCATAACGTGAATCCATTCCTCAATTTATCTCTTTTTCATTCAAAACTAAATATTTTTTTCGTCAAATATTATGCATTATTTGATTATTTTGTGCGAAACACAACACCATATGCTATGAAAGATTTTTGAATCGCATAACAAATACAAATGAAATGTAAATAATATTTCTTCTTCTCATTCAGTCATTCAAATGCTAACAAAACACCAGAAAATTATATCCCATTATATTAGTGATAATGAATGCATAAAAAGTCAATTAATAAAAAAAACTCATTGTTTCTTCAGATGGCTATTGAATAGTCCTTCAAATCGATTACTAGTCCTTCAAAAGGGCTTTTGTTTGGGAATTATGTGAATATATTTTGCTTACGAAACGGAAAAACAGGTTTTGAGGGATAAATGTAATCGGGATTTAGATTTACACGTATTGTGTATGAGATTTAATGCTTGAGATTTTAATTTGGTTGTCGATTAGATGTTTGTGTGTGAATTGTATTGTATATTATATAATATAATTCATATAGACATACAATGCATCCCATATTAATACATAAGCCTATTATTATAATGTATTCAATAATTATAGCGAAATATCATTCAATTATAAAAGTCATACCAAAATGTTTATTGAATTGAGAATTGGGTTAAAATGAATGACAATAAATGGGTCCGAGAATGAGATTTATAATGTATTTCTTTATAAATATTCAATAATAAAGTGAATTATTTTTTCACATAATAATAATTATCATGTTTTTTATGCATAGATGAATATTACACATGAAAAATGCAAACCTCTTTCAATTAATTCACTTTCATTCTCATTACACGTTTCAGTTATTGAATACAATTTTTTTACTGAAATTTTCTTAAATTTTGACATTATATAATATTTTTAAATAATAATAATCATGATTACTTTGTGATGATTACATCTAGTTCATACATTAATCTGCAAAGGGACCATGACGATTGTTCGAAAGACATTTGTCAAATTTGATATCATTTACGGTATTAATTGCCCGAAAATTAACCAAAATTTATGAAATTATTTAATGCAAAATTAAATAATTATACTGCATTTACTGTACATACAATTAAAACAATTAATATTTTAATAAACACAGCACATAAAGTAAAAACAATTCATAGTTTATTTGTTAGGGTAAAAAATTAGTTGTAATAAATAAGGTGAAACTTAATAAATTGTTTTAAATATTATTAAGTACAATAACTCCGAAAAAGTGTCTTTCGAACAAATGTCTATCAAATAAGTGTTTTTCGAGCAAATATCTTTCTAACAAATGTTTGTTGAAAAATTGCCTTTCGATCAAATGTCTTTCAAATAAATGTCTTTCGAATAAGTGTCTCTCAAATAAATGTATTTCTAACAAGTGTCTTTGTGACAATTGCCTTTCGAACAAATGTCTTTCGAATAAGTGCCTTTCAAATAATTGACTTTCTAACAAGTGTCCTTTGAACAAATATCTTTCGAGCAAATGCCTTTCGACCAAATGTCTTTTGAGCAAATATCTTTCAAATAAGTGTCTTTCTAACAAGTGTTTTTGTAACAATTGTCTTTCAAACAAATGCCTTTCGAACAAATGTCTTTCGAATAAGTGCCTTTCAAATAAAAGTTTGTTGAACAAATGACTTTGTAACAATTGCCTTTCGAACAAATGTCTTTCAAATAAGTGTCTTTCTAACACGTGTCTTTTGAACAATTGTCTTTCGAACAAATGTCTTTGTCTTTTAAACAACTGTGTTTCGAACAAATGTCTTTTGAGCAAGCGTCTATGCTGTAACACAATTTATATAAAAATAATTAATGAGAAAATGAAATGTATCATTGAAACTTAATACTTTAAATTATTATATAATTTAGTTTATTGTGAATTAAAATTGAGTTTTTGAATTTTACAGTGACTTTAGAGTTCTATAATAAATTACTATTAGGAACTACATAATTTGAGTAGATAAATAAATTTAATTTATATTTTAATTACAATATTACATTATCAACATTTATAACAATCTAAAATATATTGTAATTTATATATTTTGCATTATTATTATTATTATATTAAGTCTAAGTATTGTCCAATAATTATGGTGTTTTCACGTTTGACATAATTATTAAAATAATGAATTTAATTTATTCGTTATATATTTGGCCCATAGTTTTATAGTAACATAAATGTAAAATATAAATGAAATTTAAAACACAATTTGATTTTAAATATCATGTAAATGATAAAATTTTTTGTAGTTAACACATTTAAGTAATAATTATATTATTATTATTATTATTATTTATAAAATAAAATAAACACAATAAATGTATTTATGATAATCTCCTGCAATCTCTGTCTATATGTCGGCTTAAAATATAGTAAATTTTTGCATCTCTTATGTAAATAATATATTATATAATATATATATATTATGTCTCTTTCCTCCTCATCAGCAAAAATATGTCAATAAATCTCACTTTCAATGCATTTTTTCTTTCAAAAAATATTATATTAAGCTCTGGATTAAGTCATTAACGATCAGTGAATGAATATCTTATATAATGTGTGTTTTGTTTCAAAAAAAATATGCCTAATATTTGGCTAATATTAGAAGACTAGTGATTATTAGTGAAAGTTGTGTTACGATTGAATGACTGGTGCCATAAGTGGCCGCTCCGGTGGTGCCGTCCCTCACCGGCTGAGACGCCTCCACCCGTCTATCGTTGAGTGCCTGGAGTTGTCTGAATGTGTCGCTCAACACCACTTTGTGAGAGTCCGTTAACTCCCGAAACGCTTTGATCTAAAAAATATATATTTATTATATAAACATTTCGGTCGCAAATGTTTTACTAATGAGTGAAACAAAACAGTTGTCATTATTTTTGTTGCACAAAAATATAAACATTATTTTCCTATTAAAACAGTATTTTCTAATTCCCAGTGTTTCTGAATTTTAAAAAATATATTTTTTAATACAATATAATCTCGTTTTCATTGAGCATTCAATTAATGCTATTAATTATCTCTATTGTCTTGTTGTTAAAAACACTAAGCCTTAGTATATTTAAAAATATATAATTTAAATTTTATACCAAAAAATACATCAAAAACAATGTCTGGGAATAATAAACGCAAAAATATTAAATAAAAAATAACAATAAATAATAAAATATACAATAATTTCATTACTTGTTTGAGTCCAATGTCAGTGGTGTCATGAAACACAAGCCATGTGACCGATTCAGCGCACGGAGGGGTAGTCAGGGATCCCTTGTATCGGAAAAATAGCTTCAAGTCGTTTGGCAACAGGTTTTCCAGATTGACCAGAGGTTGGCCCGCGTTTTGGCGATACTGTGGGGGCGTTGAGTGGTAGTCATCGCCGCCCTCCACCTTCACAGCCTTCACCCCCTCTATAATGGCGTCCAAATGGGGGTTCGCTTTCCGAGTGATCTGTTATTATCGGGAATCAAGTGTATATTTAGATAATAACTGTATATTAAAGGCATTTCAAAAGCAATGTATTTAATAAATTGTCACATATATTGTGCCGTAAGAATAGTGTCATTACATAATAATTTTCAATTACTACTATTTTTAGTATTTTCTAATTTAATAATTGAATTATAATAAATAAATTATTTTATTTGTTACAGAAACACAGTTTTCTCTCATTCAGTGTGTGTTTTGTTATTAAATTAAATGCTTATATCATTGGATGGGTTTGCGGTGGGAATTAATTAGCGTTCCTATCATCGAGAGCTCACCGCTAATCACTTGATTTGATTAAATGCTTAATTTATAATATGGTTTATATAACGATACAATTACTCAATCATCGCATGTATTAATATAATGTATATTTATAATAACGTTATTATATTTAATTATTTCAATAAATTCTTGGTAAGTAATGTTTAATTCATTTGCAAAAATTATAAACGTATTCACTGTTTGTCGGTTTTTTAGGTTGAATTCAATCGCAGATAATATTTATATTTATTACCGATTTTCAATCATTAATATACAAGATATGAAATAAAAATTTGTTGCAAAAATGTTAAACAATTGGAAACAAAATGTCTATAAATAGCAAAAATTGAGACATAAAATAATCAATAATATTCTGTAATGTTATCCCTTTTCTTAAGACTATTCTTGAAAAATAACATTTATTTCAATGCCTTTAATGGACTAAAGCTATAGAATATAAAGTATAGATTTAGTGTCCATTTCTATAAATATAGACATTAAGCCATAAGAAAAGACATAAAATTACATCAAAACATCTCTTTCAGACTTTTGGGTCAGATTGTATGGAAAAATCATTAAATTTGATTCACTAATAAACAATGATTAAACACTATTACCATGTTTTCAATCAATTCCTGTACAGCAAAATATCCAATCCCTAAATCATATCGCTATAAACATAGACTTATAATTTATAACATAGACACAAAAAGCAATATAAACGGTTTAAATATATTTACAAACTAATTATACAGTCGAGTGATTCTCACTAATAAATGTCTGATATATTTATGATATAAATTATGGTAAAAATAAAAGCATAACGGCGTGTCTTACCTCAAACATGACGCCAAGGACTGCCAGACCATCAGGGTGAGTACCGGCCTCGCTTATATTGTCATACTTTTTGTTATAGTGCACGATATGCATCTATGTCGATGGGGTGGTCATAAGCAAATCAATTAATTGTCTGATATTACATAATTATCTATTGAAATTACATTATATAATAAAATTACATGAAATCATGTGTTTTTCAATACACACCCATTAATATATTATATATTCTATCAGGTTTAAGATATAATTGTAATCTATTTTTGTTTTGAACATGTTATTATAAAATATTATAAATTTAATATGATACACTGTAGCTGGCTAACCTCCATGGAGTAATGTACCCCGCTGAATGCGTGTTCAGAGCCCCTGCCTTTATGGTCACTCCAATGAAAATGCAACTGTGCCATCACGTATTCATTGTTGTCCAGCGCCCGACCCGTAATTAATGGCTGTTTTACATCATCGCCGGTCAAATCAATGGATAATTCAGCTATAATTATGCAAATTGTATTTGTTTAGTGCAAAATACTTCAGTTTATTCCGTATAAATGTTCACGATAAAAATGTTTGCGCCCGACCTGTGTGTCCGTTATTAGTGATCTTGAAGTTATGGAAATCAATTTCATAGTGTTTTAGGTCTATGTTTAGCGATGTGTTCACTAAAACGGTTTTGGTGTTGATGTCTACCGGCGACTGACGGACACCAGTCTTACATAGTTTTGGCCATTCGTTTTGGGCTTTAATTGTATTTATTAAATATCATTTAGTAATTAAAATGTCTTTATTGTAAAATTTTCAATTATATAATACGTGTTTTAAAGTTGTAATTATTATGTTTAGTGTACATGTTGCTCTATTTAACTAATATACTTATCAATGTAACCTTTAAACAAGTGAAAAGTAGCTAGGTTATATAAGTAAGGTAGCATATATTGTATTGCTAGGCTATGATAATAAGTTATATTATTAGCAATGTTTCTGAGAAAATTCATTGAATAATCATATGTTTTGCCATTTATTATCTGATAACTTGTCAATTATTATAATTATTGCAAAAATAACATTTATTTAATATAATAATTTCCGCCAAGCTTTTTCATATGAAAGTGACAACTGTTTAGTGTTATAAGAGTTAAATAAAACATTAGTTAATTTCATGTATCACTAACTCGTTCAATTCAATAACCATTAGGGTATATCATAAACAGAGAATTAAAGTAAATTAAATTTTTATATATCATTAGATTCTCGATATGAATACAAATAATACGGATTTCCTTATTAACAAACAATCAATATTTAAAAAGTCCTCTAAAAATCATTGACCACATTATCAGTGAAATGAAATGTTCATAAAAATTATCAAATATTTAATATTAAACATCTTATGGTTTCTCATATAAATATAATTATAATTATTGAACTAATATTTACTTAAATTATATATTTGTTTAACAAAATTGAGTTAAATTTTTTTCTATTGCTTTTTCCTAATGACTTATTAACTGTTTATTATCGACTTATTTAACTCTTTCTGTGAAATGTTATGCATTTCATCTCAAGAAACTTATAATTCATTTCTTATAGACTTATTTACAAACATCAACAACAAAAACAATCTCGATATAAAGTTTCAAACACTTTATGTAATATTATTTTCT